TATTTGCACTTTTTTGAGACTCTGGATACAAAGCCTGGATTGAAGGAGTGTTCCCCCATAAAGAATTTATATTCCTACTTTGGGCTTACAAGAAGGGTGAATTTGGTGTCTTAGAACATACCAAGACTCCACAGGACCTACAGAGAAACATAGAATGTTACGGCAGATAAGAACCATTCGGCCCATCTAGTCTGCCCAATTTTCCAAATACTTTCTTTAGTCCCTAGCCTTATCTTATAGTAAGGATAGCCTTATGCCTATCCCACGCATGCTTAAACTCTTTTACTATGTTAACCTCTACCACTTCAGCTGGAAGGCTATTCCATGCATCCACTACCCTCTTAGTAAAGTAATACTTCCTGATATTATTTTTAAACCTCTGTCCCTCTAATTTAAGACTATGTCCTCTTGTTGTGGTAGGTTTTCTTCTTTTAAATATAGATTCTTCCTTTACTGTGTTGATTCCCTTTATGTATTTAAATGTTTCTATCATATCCCCCCTGTCTAGTATTTCCTCCAAGCATCATATGTTAAGTTCCTTTAACCTTTCCTTGTAAGTTTTATCCTGCTATCCATGAACCAGTTTAGTATCCCTTCTCTGAACTCTCTCTAAAGTACCAATATCCTTCTGGAGATACGGTCTCCAGTGGTACGTACAATATTCCAAGTGAGGTCTCACCAGTGTTCTGTACAATGGCATGAGCACTTCCCTCTTTATACTGCTATTGCCTCCCTATACAACCAAGCATTCTGCTAGAATTTCCTGCTGCTCTATACTTACAGAGTATCCACATGTACAACTTCCTGGAGAAAAGTGACCCCACTAAGGACAAGTCTCTTTTGCACAAAGTATTCCTTTTTGTGCCATTTTAAATTGTGAGTGTGTTTTTTATGTTTCCCCATATATTGTTGTAATAAATACTACACTATAAGATTTTTTTTGTTCTTCCTTTCTTTCCTTTCCACTGTTACCATACTACGGAGTACCTATACCTGTTCATTTGGCCATCTATACAGCCACTCCAGGTAACCGATTTATCACTACAGACACCTTTCACAGCAAGGTGGTGTTGTGCGATTGCACTATTTTATAGTATTTGTTCTTGCGCCTAAGAAATAGGTTATTCATTGTATAACATTTTTTTGATTATTGCTTATAACAAAGTTCTTCCCAATGAATTCCTGAATATTATCCCTTAATAGCCTTTGAAATACTTTCCCAGTCACAGCTCTATAATGTCACCCTTCAAATAATTTCCCAGTTAAGCTCACAGGTCTATAATTTCCAGGCAAGGATTTTGAACCATTTTTAAATATAGGAACATCTGCCTTCCTCCAATCCTCCAGTAAAATTCCTGGAACAAAAGAATCTTGAAAGATTAAATACAGATGTTCACTTTTTTCCACACGTAGCTCCTTCAGTACTCGTGGGTGAATACCATCAGGCCCCAGAGCTTTATTTACATACCATTTTTTTAACTACTGTAGCACCTTGTCTTGAGTCATCCATTCACAAGTTATCTGCAAGTTTTTTGGCAGCAATCATTTGCATATCTCTTGCCATAGTATCCTCATTAATATATACTAAAGTAAAATAGTTATTTAAAATCTCTTCCTTTTCCTGGGCTTCATTAACTAACAGACCCTGTTTCTAGTGTTCCTATGCTCTTATTTTTTGTTTTGCTTTTAGAATTGATGTACTTGAAAATTTTGGAGGGGTTGGTTTTGCTTTTCTCATTTTCTAGTTGAGCAACTTTAATTGCCTTTTTGCAAGCATTATTGGCTTCCTTATGTCTTATAAGGGATGCTTCTGATTTGTCAGATTTAAATGCTTTAAATGCCCTTTTCTTATTTTTAGTCTCTTGTTTTACTTACCTATTAAGCCACATTGGTTTCCATTTGTTTCTTTTATATTTATTACCCAATGGTGAGAAATTTACTTTTCCAATATTTGTTTAAAGAGATTTCATTTATCCTCAGTGTTTTTTTCGCTAAGGAGTTCATACCAGTCAATATGTTGTAGAGCTCGACATGTTCATTTAGGAACCTGTCCATGTCTTCTCGGATATGTTTTAATTTTTTGATCAGTGCGGCTGGACTGTATTAGTGTGGAGTCCAGGAGTATGTCATTGGGCTTATGGTCTTGTAAGGACAGACCGCCTTGTTTAGAGAATAGAGCAGTAATGCTGTGAATGCTTTGGGAATGTTATTACCCTTTTCCACCAACTAAAAGTAAACCAAGTAGTGAAATCACCATGGGGCATCTTATATTATTAAGTAGCAGCCAACAGAGTTTTTCAGCAAAGATGTCAAACAGTCTTGGACTACTCTTGTCCCCAAACGTAAGTCTTGTAGCAAAATAATAATCTCTCCACTTTATACCATGGATGTGCCACAAAGAAGGATGAATAGGAAGCAACTTGAAAGAGTTTGAAATATTGGTTTTGCTGACCCAAGCAGCCCTACCGGCTTTCAAGATTGCTTGAATGGCATTGACCATGGTAATGTAATGGAGAAAAAATTAATCAGAAGGAATTAGTGAGTCAATACTGGGTGTGAGTGAGAAATGAGGAGTGGAGAGGTGGATTAACAGTGTTATTTGATGGCAATACCAATGAGGTTCATGGGCCAGCAAGTAAAGGGTGATGGGGTTGGGGGGTAGGAAAAAGGACCTAACATGAAACCACAGTAATTTTCTTTTTTAATTAAAATGCCCATTGATCATTTGCATTGGACAATAGATTGGGGCATTCCAATGAGCCTATAGGTAGTGATATCATACTAGTTTGAAATCCCTGTGTAAAAGGAGTGAGAAGGAGTGAGACTGAAGGTAGAAAGTCAAGTTAGTAATATTGACTTTGGTTAGCCATTGCTTAGGAAATAATTTAGTAGGGCACATAAACCTGGTGTGTGCTCTAAAACACTGAGAGCAAATATGTAATGTGTAAATGTCTAACCTGCAAGTACTAAAACTGCACATACCTGCAGTGACGTTATAACAAAGCTGTGCTTTGCCCAGGAACACAATGGGCCAACCCAAGTTGTCTTTCAAACCATGCTGCTCAAGTGGATCAAAAGAGGACTGGAGCCAAAAGCCCAATTTTCCTAATACTTCCATTAGTCCCAGGCCTTATCTTATAGCTAGGATAGCATTATGCCTATCTAACGCATGCTTAAACTCTTTCACTGTGTTAACCTCAATGACTTCAGATGGAAGGGTACTCCATGCATCCACTACTCTCTCAGTAAAGTAATACTTCCTGATATTATTTTTTAATTCTTTATTTTCATTGTGCAAAGTGAGGTACAAACATGTCTGCTTGCCACGACAATGTTTACAGACTTTACATAACTAACAATCTGTGACATTAGATTAAGGCAGCACATTTTTTTTTTAATAGGTTAGTGTATTTCTGCATAGGTCAGAAGGTTAGTGAATAAGAGTATCAATGACAAGAAGTGTGTTATGACTTATGTAGAAGCTTTCAGTTACAATAGGTTAAGGTGTTAGAGTCATTTAGCTGGTCTGAGCATGTTATGGTCTTCATACTCATTATGTTGGGTCTCTTTATTCATCAGCTATTAGGCGTGTGGAACATTTAATATGGTGATTGGGAGCTGAAGTAACTGTGCGAGGAGGCTATAGCATGAGTTCCCCCCCCCAGAAGGGCTGTGTGGTTTTGAACAGGTAGACTAGTGAGTGATCACTGCCCCTGGAGGGAAGTACCTCTCACCCCACTTTTGTCTTTATCGGTGCATATGATCCCGTTATGTGCCAGGTAAGATAGGATGAGAGGGGGGAGGGGAGTCTATGTGTATAGGTCAAACTGCTTATCTCAGCGTGTGGAGAGTGCCATTAAATCATAAACTGTATATATATATATATATATATATATATATATATATATATATATATATATCCTGTAGCTAGGAAAATACAATAACATCAAAACATGGAGACATATCAAGGTATAACTGTGCCATCAGAAATATCTACTATTGAGGGAACTGCAGGGGAAGTGTGCAGGTGAAGTGTTCCCAATTTAGGCAGGTTAGTCCCGGATAGCTCGGTCAGGTCTTTTCTTTCAGGGGTGTAAGTCGTCGTTGTTATCTGGGAACAAATTCCACAACCCTCGAGGGGTCTAGCTGGGACAGATCCACCTGATATTATTTTTAAACCCTTGTCCCTCTAATTTAAAGATGTCTTTTTGAGGTAGTTTTTCTTCTTTTAAATATAGTCTCCTCCTTTACTGTGTTGATACCTGTGGCAAACTCCCCCTTTTAGCTGAATTTGCGACGAGTTTTTGAAGAGGACTACTTGCCAGCCTTTTACCCTGTGACTATGGCCTCTTAAAGTTACTGTGGTTAAAGATACTATTTATGCCTGTTTGGGACTTTTTTTTTTTTTTTAATGTTTCATTTTTATTGAGATGAAAAGGTTTCGGATTGACACTTTAACATACATTTTACGTTTCATACATATTGCATAACAGAGAGTGTATAGTGATAAAATTTTTCAATGGCATTTTACAATACATCCTCGTGGCAATGGTACAGTGTTTCGTTTGAATCGACATTCATGCTATTGTTATATGTGGTGAGTAATGCCCTGATTTTGGTACCCGGTAGGCTGGGCATGCTTTTTGGTGTGTGTTATCATGCCTCTAAGTGGTGTCTCCCGGGCATCTGGGGGTTAGCCTCCCACCTGTATCCTCCGCTCTTCTTCGGGATGGGCCAGATGGTTAGCAACCGGGTGTGTATCACCTTTGCGTTTTATTTATTTATTTGGTTTCGTGTCTTGTAGGCTGGAAACTGATTTACCTGCTCATCATCTCATATTTTAAGGCTTGGTAAGGCAACGTAAGCCCTTATTTTTTGTACGGGGGGGGGGGAGGGTTTAACTGGGATAAGGGTGTAGTACGGGGGGGGGAGGGGTGAGATGCTCTCTTGCTTTGAGGCTAGGTGGGGCGTAGTTTGGGTTCCTGGCATTCACCCAGGCATCACCACTTAGACCATGTCCTGTTGTAGTGTTCTAGTGTGCCAGCTATTGTATGTGCCATCTGCTCGTACTGTTGGGTGAGGCTTACTTTGGCGAGTACTGCGTTTATGTCAGGTACAGTCGTAGTTTTCCACAAGGCGGCTATGCACGTTTTAGCTGCTAAGGTGATGTGGGTAGTCAGCGCTGCTTCATAGGCTGTAAGATCTCGGGGTAGCATGTGGAGCAGGTAGTGTTCAGGCTTGAGTGGTAATTGTTTTCCTAGTTTGGATTTAATTGTGTCTTGGATTTGTTGCCAGTATTGGCTGAGTGCTGGGCAGTACCAGAATATGTGCCCACTCTTCTGCTTATCTACTTGTTGTAAACCTTTCCTGATGAAGTCATACTGGTTGGTGTTGGGGGCATATAGGTTGACTACTGTCACCTGGACGTCATTTAGTAGTCCCATTCGGTGCCGTGGCATGGTAGGCTTGTGGATAAGATGTGGACGAGAATTTTGGTGGATTTTTAATTGACAAGTGGGTTTCCTGTATGCATGCTACAGAAGCGTGTAGGGTGCGTAGTTGGGAGAACGCCAACCTGCGTTTTTGTGGGGTGTTCAGCCCATGGGCATTTAGGGACACCAGGCGGAATTTATTGGCGGAGGTCATTTTAACTGGTTGGGGTGGCCCTAGGGCCCGGTTGTGTGGGTGTAGTATTTCCTATTGCCACTACATGACCAAGTTGGTGGGGTGAGGCTATTTTTTCCCCTCGTCGTACCCAGTAGTGAAAGGGGAGCATCTCGGGTAGGGGGTTAGGGCAGGGGGAACAACCTGAAAAATAACCTAGGCAACAAAACCATAAAACAGAAATAAAGTATCTACATTTCAAACAGCTATTAAGCATTATGTGGGGGACCCTGCTGCTGAGCTCGCACCCTCTACTGCACTGAGAGGGGGCCACAGCGGCAGGCGTTGTCCCGCAAGTGTATCGGGGGGGCGTCTGATAGTTGGTGAGGCCTGTACCTCTTTTAGAGCCCAGCTCAATCGAAGAGGTATGCGGCGGGGGGGGAGATATGGGGGGCTTGATTGAGCCGTTAGCTGTCTTGCATAAGTCCATGAGTGGAGGGGTGGGGGGTGAGTACATCCTCTGCACCCTGCAGTTTTTAGGCCTGTTGTTGTCCGGCCTTGCTGGGTTTAGATTTAGTGGGCAGTCTCTGCAAGGTTCTGAGCAGCGAGTCTGACTGCTTAGGGGTAAGTCTCGCAGTGACAGGGTGGGCCAAGTTGCGCTGTGGTGTGGTAGTCATTTTTTCCCTTGTGCTGGGTTAAGGGGGGGAGGGGAGGGTGAGGGCGAGTAAGAGTACTCACGTGGGTGCTGAATGTCCTGCATGCTATGCCATTTCCAGATGATTGGGGCGGTCACCATGGGGGGTCTCACGGGTCTCTAACAGAGTGGCTGAGTCGTGCTGTAGCCGGCACCCCCTTCTGGGTGGCGGTAGTGTCCTTTAGGCTTTAGACCAATCCGGGAGGCTTGGGCTTTAGATGTTTTGCCGTCTGGGAACAAGCCCCAGGTCTTGAGCTTGTCCATTCCCAGCGCTGGATCTTCAATCTTTATTAGGGAGCCATTCCGCCAGATAAGGAGTTTTGTAGGAAATCCCCACCTGTACGGTATTTTGTTGTTTCTAAGGCATTTCGTAATGTTTATGAATTCCCTTCTCCTGGCCATTGTCGTTGGTGAGAGGTCAGCGAAGAGGGAGATATTTTCATAGGTTGGTGGCATCGCTGAGGCCTTCCTTTGCGCCATGAGTATGGCTTCCTTCGCAGAGTAGTAGTGCAATCTGGTCACAATATCTCTTGGCACTTCTTGTGCAAGGTTTTGAGGTTTTGGCACTCGGTGTGCCCGATCTAGGCGGAGGTCCGCCAGTTCTAGGCTTGGTTGGATCGCTTGGAAGAGTCGCAGTAGGTAGGCCGGCAGCTCTTCTTGTGTCACTGTTTCTGGTACCCCGCGCACGCGGATGTTATTGCGGCGGGAGCGATCTTCCAGATCTGCCAGTTTTTCCATAAGGCGTTTGTTATCAGCGTCCATCCTTTGTATTTTCTCCACTATGGTGTCATTCATATGGCAAAGCTCATCAGTTTTTTCTTCTAGTGCATTCACACGTGTCCCCACTTCGTGGATGTCTTTGCGCAGGTCAGAGACCGCAGCTTGGAAGTCAGTCTTCATAGAGGTCCTGCAGCATTGCCGCCAGGCGCCTTTCCGACATAGACAGATCATCAGCGGTTACTTGCCTCGAATCTGTGTCTGATCCTGCGTCTGAGGTGTGAGTGGGTGAGCGGGAGCCGCCGCCATCTTGTTCCATGCGCTGCTTCCCTCCCTTACCCTGCCGGAAGAAGTCTGAGACTTTGGGGGTGCCATCTCTAGGGTAGGAGGTTCCCCTGCTGTTGGGCACCTTGTGAGGGTCGTTTCAGGCTCTTTCGCCACGTTTTTGCCGCTTTTTAGGCCTTACCGATCGCGGAGCTGCAGTTACATGCGACCGCTCCGTCCAACCGGAAGTCCCGCCCCCGCCTGTTTGGGAATTTAAACAATTATTCTTCAAACTTTTGAAGTGGTTCGGAGTGCTACTTCGAACACTGAACAGCCAGACCACACACAAGTGGAGTGTGCAGCCTATTTACCTCCCAGTTTGGTAGTTAACCACAGCCAAATTGACGAATGGCTGGGTGGTCACTGTTCGTATAGTCGAACACGTGGTGGTGGCCATCCTGTTTAGTCAAACGTGTTCAGCTGTGTTTTGTCATTGAGTTCAAGGAACTCAAATCGGTCACGTGACGGCACGATGCTGAACTTTACCTTCTCTGGGACTTCAACTCTTCGGCGGGAGTCGAACAGTGTTCGACAATTCTAACGGCACTTCAATATTGACTTAGTGCATGAACGGCCACTTTCGTGAATTTGAAGTGTACTTAGTCATTGGAACTAGACCGGCCGCACTGTCAAATTCTCTGGAATTGTTTTGGGCATAAAACCATGTGTGCAGTCGGTCAAAAGAAACTTCCAGGAATTTCCTGAACCCCTGCTCTGATCTGGGTGATTTTTGGATATGTTGTGCACCCAGATAAGGGCTATCAGGGGATGTCATATGGAGATGTGTTATGTTTTGGGGTATTTTCTGTACTTTGGGGAAAATGTGTGTTTTTCTGCCTGTGGATAATTAGGTTATTGCATTAACTACTTTAATTATTTCACAGGCAGAGGGGAGGGATTGTTTGCTGTATGAGGGAATGTCAGACACTGTACATTGTTTTTATTGGTTTGTACATCTTGTAATTCGGTGCTCCATCAGGTCCAGGGGCTGTTCTCTTGGCCTGAGGAATTGTATAAAAGCCAACCTGAACCATTAAAGCTCAGATTCCTGCTTACAGAACTGTGTGCTAGAGCCAATTCCCCATTCGGCTCCAGGAGGGAGCAGTTCCAGGGCCCCAGTCCAGCCACGGCGACTGTGGGCAGAAGTGCTGCAGTTTGTCCCGTGTTCTAGCTAGGAAGCGGTCCTTTGGCGGAGGTACCCAGCCGGGGTACAGGGAGCTCCGTTACAATACCTATTTTTGTATTTAAATGTTTCTATCATATCCCCCCTGTCTCGTCTTTCCTCCAATCTGTATAAGTTATGATCCTTTAACCTTTCCTTGTAAGTTTTCCTGCAATCCATGAACCAGTTTAGTAGGCCTTCTCTGAACTCTTTCCAAAATATCAAGAGTTACGGTCTCCAATACTATGTACAATACGCCAAGTGAGGTCTCATCAGTGTTTTGTACAATGGCATAAGCACTTCCCTCTTTCTACTGCCTATACAACCAAGCATCCTGCTAGCATTTCCTTCTGTTCTATTACATGGTCTGCCCACCTTTAAGTCGTCTGAAATAATTACCCCTAAATCCCTTTCCTCAGATGTTGAGATGAGGTTAGGACTATATTAAATATATTAAATATTCTATACTCCGCCCTTGGGTTTTTCCATCCTAGATGCATTATCGTGCCACAGCTCTGACCAATTAATAGTTTTCCTAAATAATTTGCCATTTGGCTTATTCTTCCTGGAACATGAACCATGTAACATTGCTTAGCATCATCTGCAAAAAGACATACTTTACCATCAAGACCTTATGCAATATCACTAATAAAAATATTAAAGAGAATGGGTCCAAGTACAGATCCCTGAGGTACCCCACTGGTAACAAGACCATGCTTCGAATATACTACATTGACTACAACCCTCTGTTGCCTGTCATTCAGCCACTGCCTTATCCATTCAACAATATTGGAATCCAAACTAAAATATTGCAGTTAATTGATAAACCTTCTATGTGCAACAGTGTCAAAAGCCTTGCTGAAAGCAATGTAAGCAATGTCTACTGCACTACCCTGATCTATTATTTTAGTTACACAATCAAAGAAATCAATAAGAAAAGTTTGGCATGATCTCCCTGATGTAAACCATGTTGTGTCTGATCTTAAAATCCATGTGATTTTAGATGTTTAACCATCCTTTTCTTTAACATGGTCTCCATTACTTTCCCCACTACTGAAGTAAGGCTTACTGGCCTATAGTTGCCCGACTCCTCCCTACTACCTTTCTTGTGAATGGGCACAACATTCGCTAATTTCCAATCTTCTGGGACTACTCCTGTTAACAATGATTGGTTAAATATATCCGTTAATGATTTTGCTAGTACATCACTAAGCTCTTTTAATAACCTTGGATGTATTCCATCCGGCCCCAACGATTTATTTGTCTTTTATTTGACAGCTGAAATAGAACATCTTCCTCTGTAAACTCACATGTAACAAATGACTCATTTGTCTTTTTTCCTCACTGATGTCCCTTTCCTTCATTTTCATTTGTAAATACTGAACAAAAATATTAATTGAGGCAATCAACTAGACCTTTATCCTCTTCTACATACCTTCCTTCTTTTGTTTTTAATCTAACTAATCCTTGTTTTACTTTCCTTTTCTCATTTATGTATCTTAAAAATGTTTTATCCCCCTGTAACCGAGCTCCCTGTACCCAAACTGGGTACCTCCACCAAAGGACAGCTTCCTAGCTGGAACAGGGGGCAAACCTCAGCACTCTGGCACTCAGCCACCGTGGCTTGACTGTGGCCCTGTAACCACTCCTTCCTGAAGCTCAATGGGGAATTAGCTCTAGTCCTTACAAGGACTTTCCCCGTAGAATCCCCTGCAAGCTTGAACAGCAGATACAGGAGTAAATCTTCTTTCCCTCCAATAATAGGACGACACACGGTTTTGGAGTGAAGGCTGGAATGGATTTTAATGGAGGCACACTGGCCTTTTATGCAAGTTTCCCAACAAGGGTGGACCTTGTTGGGCACAGGGACACAAAGTGAACAAACTAATGAAAACAGAGTCATACAGTGAGACACTCCCATACACAAACAATAGAATCGCTCCTCAGTGCTTGGGAGA